TCTCAAGATTTTTATAATGTGCAAACTTATAGACAGAAAATATATAACCCTTATATTTTACTAAAAAAAATTAAAAAATTAGGAGGATCATGGCCATCCTAATCTCCCATCTCCACCCCTACTTTAGCAAGACTTTAAAATTAAAACATATGATTAAGTATAAGGTATATTTTGGTGGCTGATATTTTTTCTTCCTCTTTTCTCTTCAAATTTGCATGGCCAGCCATTAGCAAGGGCATGAGATTGAGGAGCTGCTCATGAATGTCATTAAATTCAGAGCTTTATAAACATTTAAACTTCACAAGCTTCTTTTTGGTTTATTAACACATCTCCTAATTGTGCATTTCAAAAAGACTAGTCACTGAAGAAATGTCACTAGGAGCTTACTAAAACTTCACTCTCTAGTACAAACAACTTGTACATTACCTATTCACTCAAGTGCTACATATAATTGGATCATGAACTAGCCAACTAGGACTTTCCGCTATAAAACCGCTCAAACTAAGTCAAGTGCTCTTAATTATCCGAACTGTCATATCACTTGTGGATCTTGATCCATGTTTTGAGTTAGCTACAGGATCATTGCGACTGAATGATAGAAAATAGTAAGCAGAAGATAGATGACACCAGCAATGACAAAGAGAACCCAACTTGGTTAAGTAGATGCTACTCTATGAATATGAACATGCTATTGAAAAAAAATAGAGAGAATTTCAACTTAAGACAAGGGATGTGATATTATTTCATATTATACTCAGAATTTTGAAAAATCGTTTATGGTTCAAGGAACTAAATTGAAAATAAGTTTCAAAGAAAAATTATGATAATATCCTTTAAATACTATTTTATAAAAATCAACCTCATTAAAGCCCCATCGCCAGTGACCACCCCAACAAAGGTTGCTAGTAGTCGGGCCACTGTCAAAACTCTAATGCTAACCATTGGAAATAAATACGCAAAGTGATCAAGGGAGTTTGAACCCTAGACCTTTTGGTACCCTAAAAAATTATTAACCACTAAGCTAATGAAGATTTTCAATTATGCAAAGCTAAAACAAATATATAACATTAGTAATCTTCCAAACCAATAGACTAAGTAAACTTACTAATAATATTACTTGTTATTTCACTAATAGAACTTGTTAATCTACTAGCAAAATCATTAGCAATATCTTCTATTATTTAATCCTAGTGACTTTTTAAATCCCTAATTTAATTTATAAATTTACTAATATTACTTATTAATTCATTAATGAAAGTTGTTAACAATACTTTCTAAATATTCAATCTCGGTAACTTGTTAAAACCCTAATTTAACTTGTTAATGTACTAATACTACTTATTAACTCACTAGCAAAAGTTGTTAACAATACTTTCTAAATATTCAATCCCAGTGACTTGTTACAGCCATCAACTTGTTAATTTATTAATACCACTTGTTAACTCACTAGTAAAACTTGTTAATAATACTTTTCAAAATTTTCAATTCTAGTAACTTGTTAAAACCCTAATTTAACTTGTTGATTTACTAATATGGCTTTGTTAATTTAACTTTTTAATTTACTAATGTTTAAAAATTATTGTCAACAGGTTTTGCTAATGAGTTAACAAGTAGTATTAGTAAATTAACAAGTTAAGTTAGGGTTTTAACAAGTCATTTAGATTGAATATGTATAAGGTGTTGTCAACAAGCTTTGTTAGGGAATTATTAAGTAGTATTAGTAAATTAATAAGTTAAATTAAATGTTTAACAAGTCACTGTAATCGAGTATTTAGAAAGTATTGTTTATAAATTTTGTTAGGAGATTAACAAGTAGTATTAATAAATTAACAAATCAAATTAGAGTTTTAACAAGTCACTGTGATTGAATATTTAAAAAATAACTTTTAATTCAATATTTTATAATAAAAATATCAAAAAATGCAATGTATGATCATTAATAGTGAAGAAAATGGTGAGTTAGTGGCAAGGTAATGAGAAAAGAAATATTTAATGTTGAGGGATAGAATTAACTTACGGTTGAGTTTAAAGTGCATAGTAATCCTTTGAGTAACGTTGTGGGGAAAAATAACTCTTAATCCTTATTTATATTGAAACTAATATTTTAAATATACAATATTATTTTTTTTATAATGTTGTATGGTTATATATAATTGTTGTATTACTATTTTATATTATAAAATTTTTTTTAGTAAAGTTGTCAATTTTTATTTTTATTTTTTTAAAATAAAATATTTGTATACTATTCCTAGTCCCAAATTATACTCTTTTTATTAAAAAAATATAAGACCTTTTTAGAGGAGTTGAATGTTAAAAAATGTTAGGCATTTTTAATATTTCAAAGCATAATCATTATCTTTTTTTCAAAAGTGTCCCCATTAAATAATCACTTTATATTTATTTTAAAATGAAACACCCTATTACATAAGGTTAAATATAAAAAAATAGTGTTAGTTTGAAGACAAGTAACTACTTTATTAAAAGGTGAGATTCGCTTAAAAATCTCTTATATTTTTAAATAAGTAGAGTAAGATAAATTTCAAATAAAATTACGCATATAAATATACTTTTTAAGCTTACTTTTAGATAAATTTCAAATAAAATTACGCATATAAATATACTTTTTAAGCTTACTTTTTCAAAATAAAATTATAAATTTTAAAAAATGTCCCTATACATTTAATCATTACGTTATATCATTTTAATTCTTTCTTCATTTGAAGAGTAATATTGAAAAAATATCATTAATAAAATTTTATTTTTCTTAAATTGTTTTATATTTTGAAACAAAAAATTCTTCTAATAATGTTTACTTGTCTTATAATTTGGAAGGGACGCAATAGTTTTTTTTTTATCAATTTAATCTGTTGTTTACTTGATTTTGAGACTTCAAAGGGTTAAGATACGGCGTACAAAATCTTAAAAGAGGCGTATGTCTCTATCTGGCCAGTCACATTAGACCAAGCTGTGCAGCAAAAGATCAAAACAGAGAATAAACTGGATTGAAATCTCAAAGCATAAAGTTGAATATCAGAAAAATTCAAATAACACACAGAAGACAAAGAGAGAGAATAATCAGAAAAGAGAAGAGGAGGGAATAAAAGCCTACCAAGCTGCCTCGTCCTCCAATCTCTTCTATGGTGCGGCTCTTGAAAATGTTTGATTCTGTGTGACGACTCTACTCTTCTCTCGGACCCACACGTTGAACAAACACTGAACTCACAGTTTGAGGGGTCAGATCTCACTCTTTCAGGGAAGTAGAGTGAGAGAGGCTTCGTAAAAACCAAGAAGATGCCTTGGATGAGAAAGGTGGGTCAGGCGGACTACGGTTCGATCCCCCGCAGGGCCAATTGGGAGGGGGCTGGAACCTAACCACTCAGAACTGTTCCCCCGAATCCGGATTAGTCGACCCGAAGGGTCGGATACCGGGTGAAGCAATTCAAAAAAAAAAAAAAGGCGGGTCACGTGCGTATTTAAAAAAGATAGAAAATGGAAACAACAATGTTGACTTTGGTGTATTTTTATCCGTGTTTTTATTATTATTATTTTTCTTACCACCATATGTTGCTTTGGTATTAGTATGGCATAAATTCTTTGAGATAGAAAATTTTTTAAAATATTTTAATATGCATAATTTTTTTATGGGGAAAATATTTCCATGCTACCGCCCAATTGTCCAATTCACTAAACTGAAAGAGACATAATCTTCTATAGAATTTCCAGTTTTTTCTTTGAAAAAAGTTATATAAAGCAATTTTTTTTTGTTATAAACTCTTCATATTTCTTTTTGGTGTAAACAAACTCTTCTCTTCATGTTTTAATTTATCTAATTCATTAAGAAGATAAACCAAAATTTTAATTCATTTTCTTGGGTCTAATGTTAATTCTTATAAATTAATTTTTGTTCTTTAATGTTAGATATTGTTGTGAAGTGCGCAACTACTAAGGGGAAATAAATATGATAAACAATTTAAAATTATAAAAAAGTTAAAAAAATGATAGAAGATGACACGTGAAATTTAACTAAAAAAACTTTTAATGTGAGGGACAAAAAATTCACAAACAACAAACCAGAATATAAAAAATAAGAATTATAATAATTGTTTTTGGTATGGATAATGGAAACATAAGAGGAGATATATATACACACACATAAAACTTCTCACTAGATAAAAATATTATTTTATATAATAATAAATATCTCTTAGAATCTCAAATAGAAATATAAGAGATATGGTAGATTTAAATCAATATAATATATAAAAATAAAAATAATCATAAAGGATCATATAGATTTTAAGTCATAATCTCAATATATGTTTAAATTACTATAATTTATTGTTCATTTGATAGCAATTACCTCTTCAAAAATCTTTCCTTTTTCTTCTTTTTCAAAATTTAGGAACACCGAAACTACTAATTAATTAAAAATATCAATATGCAACAAAAATTGTAAATGAAGTATCTCGTTTTCAGACGATAAAGTAGACAAGGGTGACAATAAAAATTTATCTTTAAAAAGGGAAAAAGATCAAGTTTTAGTTGACAAGGCAACAAAAAGACTTGACGTGGTTTGTTTTATTTACGAGTGTAAAATAAACAATTTTCTTGGGACTTGGGACCACCTTCAACTACAGGCACAAATCCTATTACTTGGTCTCTCTCTCCCACCTACTCCAAGCTGTATAATCCTATTTACAAGCCTCTTGTAAACAAATTGCTACAAGATTGGAGGGACCGTTTGTCAATTAGAGCATATGCAAGGACTAGTTTTAAAATCTTCGGCTTGGCACCAAGACAGAATCTTTGTCAGAGAATAATCTTCAGATATTAATCTAATTGTTTGATAGTTCTTCGTCGTTACCCTCTCTCATTGTGCTCCATGCCTACATTTTTCCCACTATGTTGCAGAAAACACAAGCAGAACACTTCAACCTTCAGCGGGACTTTAAAATATATGCTTAAGCTTAAAGTATATATATTTTTTTCCAGTGGCTGATATTTTATTCTTCCTCTTTTCCCCTCAAATTTGGATGGCCAGCCATTGATAAGGGCATGAGATTGAGCAGCTGCTCATGGATGCCATTAGATTCGGGACTGTACAAACACAGGCTTCTTTCTGATTTATTTTCACATCTTCTAATTGGGCATTTCAAAAAGAGACTAGTCATTGAAGAATTCACTATGAAATCACAAAAGCTTCTCACTCTAGTACAAACAACTTGTACATTACCTATTCACACAACAGTCACGTTCCTATAATTGGATCATGAACTAGCCAACTAGGACTCTGATAGATATACTTTCCTTTTTGTAAGTCATTTATTATCAGGGGTTTCCATTTGTGCCTCTGGTGGTGGTCCGGAGAGCACAATGACTGTTGATACTGGGGATGCTGCATCTTCTTGTTGCATAGGTGAATCTGTGGTGCTGACGTAGTCCCATCCGGAAGAACAGCCAATTACATCTTGTTGTGCCCTAATAGTGGGCCCATACAAATGAGTTTCTTGAATAAGCTTTCTGCTATTAAACTACTTAACTAATTCAACTGTTCTTATCCAAACTGTCATATCACTTGTGGGTCCAGTGCCCTCTTGATCCATATTTTTAGTTACCTGCAGAATCTTTGAGAATGAATGATAGAAAATAGTGAACAGATGGTTGTTGTGGCCCCAGAAATGACAAAGAGAACCCAGAAACTTTCAAGCTTCAAACTGTGTGTATCATTGGACGTTGGGTTGCTGATGCACTCGTTTGATTGATATAACCATTTTGCTTGCAAGTTCGTTAGTTCTCCATCCTCTGACAGCTGCAATATTGCTTTAGAAACATCTTTGGCCACTGGGGAGCCTTTTTGGAACATCTGCATGATGTGATTGATAAGGAAAATCCAAGTTAAATGTTTAACCATGTAAATGTAGATGAATCATGTTTATTATAATTACATGATTGAAATCATATTGTGTCCAAGTCTTATTCCTAAATTTTAGAAGGACAAGGAAAGTTAATAAAGACATGGAATCCTATTGTCACTTACAAATCCTAGTCCTCCAAATCTAGTTGTTGGTGTGGAGCCAGAATATTCCTTGCAGTAGGTACTTATGTATACTTTTTCATAAGGGAGTTCGAGAAAAGCTACTGCGATAGAATTGTTTTTGAATTCACCATCATAATGGTACTCACTACTTATGTTGATGATGTTTTCTGGCTTGAACTGTTCAACTTTCTCTAGGTATGTTCTAACAAATGAGTCACCATCACAACCAATTTTCATGTTGTTCATCTTCAGCCACTCAATGCCTGTGACATTTGGCTGCAGCTGTTGAACTGTTAACATTGAAGAAAGACTAGCTGTGTAGCTTGAGGTCAGAACCATGACTAGAAGAAGCCATGCTCCCATCACCACACGAGATAAGTTGCCATGCATTTGCTCCCCTGTGAGATTAATCAAAGCAATGAGAAAGTTCAATTGACATTTTTTAGCAAAGAATCTTTGGCTTTCTGAAAATGTCTAGTAACTGTCTGAAAGTGAAATGTGAAGTTACCAAACATGTCCTAAGTTCAATTGTCATTTTTAGCCTAAGAAGAAGCATTGGTACTGACACAAGGTACTGATGACCATGAGACATGACAATATTGGTAATGAATCCTAGTAGTATTGCTCTGTAATCTCCAAGTACAATGCAAAGTGTTAGATGGTACAGTTAAGCTTGTTCAATGCAGCAAAGAATGTTATTCATTGAAGTTTAGCAAAAATGCTTACTCTGAGCAAAGAATAGGGAGGAGAAGGTAAACCAAAGAGCAGTGCTAAACTGTCTCTTCCAGTTGCCACGAAACTCTGGGTTAGGTACTCGTTCGAGGTACCAAACTACTAACATTGTGTAAATCAAGATTGCACCCGTAACCGCCCACATTTGCCAGGTGAACGGCTTTAGAAATATCCATGCTGACTCTTGAGACTTCATTGGAACTATCATGGACAATCCCGATTCTGCATAAGGCAGAGTAAAATCCACGTATTGCAGTCTCTCTGCTAGTAGGGTCATGTCACCAACCACTGCATCATAAGTCTTCCACCACCATTGTTATACCATGACAACCAAAAGAAGTAAAAGGAAATGACTTATTAGTTCCCTGATGTTGAACCAAAATGGTACATAAATTCAAAGTTAACAAGACTCAGTACTCTATATAAGCTATGAAGTATACCTCTGCACGCACACCATATACTTGCTTAGAAGTAAAGACAAAAAATGATGGGGACCAAAATTCTTGAGAGGCTAGATTGATAGAACCGTACGTTAGAAATCAAAATTAACTAATTAGTTAACTTTCAAGAATGAAAACAATGATTGGCTTCAAAAAAGGAAGGAAGTGCTTGCTAGTTAAGGCAGGAAAAAAAATATCATACATTTGGCCGCTTAAACTTCACCAAGAATAATTTCTTTTTTGTTTTTAACAGAGCTCTAGTAAATGATGTCTGATATAAATTTTTCTTTTGTTTTTCTAAAAAGGAGAGAAAACGTTGGATGAAGAAGAATTGCTACCTTGTTGTACACAAGTTGAACCAGATCAGGATAAGTTACATTGAGGGGATGAAACTCATAGGGTAGATCATAGTCTAAAAGCCCAAGCACCTTGTCGAAAATCTCAATACAGAATCCACTGTATTTATTCTGATCTGGACTGTTTCCATAGTCAACCTTGACAAACTTTGAAAATGAAGTTCTTCCTGGAACTGCAATTCTCATTGGGTTTTGCTTAATAGGCATATTCCAACCTTTTGGAGCTCTATGCAAATTCCCTGGCCATTGTACTACACCAGCCAAACTTAATGCGCTGGCAGTAGCATTTTCTTCACTTTTTCCTGTAGGCAGGCCTGTAGTGAACCCATATTCTTGAGTCCAAAAGTCTATTTCTTTATAACTCTTTCCAACTGCATTTACTAACCTTAGGATAGGATTCTGCAAGAGCTGACCTGCTTGAAAATGAATTTCCCCACTTAAACCTACAAAACTGCTAGACCATATTTCTCTTAGCAAAACCTTTGCGCTGCTACTATTGTTCCTTGCCTTTCTTTCTACTGCTTGAATGACAACTTTGATGCTATCATATGCTTGCAAAGCATTAAATCCTGGGTTGCTGTTATCTTCCTCAGGATTCCTTGCGTGAAATTTTTTCTTGAACTGAGCTCGAAATTCTTGATACTCACTGCTATTTTCTGAGTAGTGTGTCTTGATTCCTAAAGACCCTCCCATATAGGAGGAAATAACAGACTTGTCCACAGAGTCAAGCAAATTAGTTATGCTCTCTGAGATTATCCAAGCAGAATCTCTATCCACAAGTCCCATCTTTGAACCTTCTCTGAACAAATGAGTCACCATTTCCAAGGATGAGTGCAAAACAATGAAAACACGAGATTGAGTTTGCTTTACCAACTTAATCAGCTCTTGATTGATTAGCCCTCTTGAATCTGAATCTGATAAAATTGATATTGGTGGAAGAGCTAACTGGTACTCAATTACCGAACCAAAGTCTCGGAGGGCCTCAGAAAGGAGTGACAACATCCCATAGTCTCCACCACCATAGCCATCATCTTCATGAATGACTACTACTCTTTGCCAACTGAAAGCATTCACTATGTCTGCAATGCATTTTACTTGTGCAGTCACATTGTTAGCTAGTCTTACCAGATAAGGCCATCGTTTCTGTGTCAATGGTGTGGTAATTGCAGGTGAGACAAGGGATATGATTGGAACTTGAGCTTGGCTTCCAACTTCAGCCGCTAGAGTTGCTTCTTGCCATGTATGCATCCCTATAATTACTTCTACTTTCTGCTTTCCAATTAACTCTTCAGCTGCAACCAGGTTTAGCACAATTAAGAGGGAGCTGTACAAACTAAACCAAAAGGCTGAACATAGGTTGACTTTCATTTTGGTCTTCCCATGATTCCTTTTTTTTGGGGGGGAAAAATCTAGTCATTCAATTGTTACATTGTGGCAACGTTTCCCTGCTATCTTATTGCTGTTCAAAATTTGAAGGTCAATATTTTTAATATTCTGTTGACTTGGATTCTAAATTTAAGGTGAGTTCACAGTGATGGGTAAACAACTAACAACGAGGCAAAAAAAACTTTTATATTCAGCTTTACAAATTACAAGCACTTTAATGAGTGGGAAACGAAATTCTTAGAAATGATAAAGACCAAATTAAAAGTTGACTCTATTTGTCAGTGTTTTTCTCAGATGATGTTCTTTGCAAATGCTATAGATTGCTTGCCAAGAGAGGTGACTCTGAAGGCTTCCTTGGTGGCGTTCCGGAAATAGAGAGCCAGTTTGTGAGTCTTTGATGTGTTGTTGTAGTTTTGAGCTTCAATTTCCATGGCTATTTGCTGCTCTCTACCAATTCTGGAGTTAACATCAATAATTGCACCGATACGTATAACTTCAGTGTCTCCTTTTGTAGACTCATCTCCATAGCCATGAAAGATAACACACGAGATGAGCAGAAAAGAGAATAGCCAAAATCTTGGAAGTGTTCTAGGAATAGTAAAAGAGAAACTCATTTGGGATTCTGAAGCTGAAAACAAGCGTTGAGAATGTTATTTTGTGATCAAGCTTTGCATTATGGCACATACAAATATCATTGTATGCAAAACAAGAAATCCATGAATTCTACGGAGGTCATTGAACATGGAATTATGACTTTGTCAAGTATGAAGTCGACATTGCAGTTGAAGACAAAGGTGCTAGCTAACGTTATTTGTAGAAATTTTTCACAAGCGTATTATATGTGGTGCACACAAGAGGTGTTAAGTTCTGTACACCGAACTCTTAAGTATTTTCAACGATTTTGTTTAATTCTAAAAATTCCATGGGATCTTGAATGATAAGTTCAGTCCACATGAGCTCAAGCGTAGAAGCCTATCTTGAAGTCCCCATCGCTTCAAACCTGGCCCTTTTGGACCGGGCTTTGGAGTTTAGTCATAAGTTTTTTTTTTTTATATTTATTTCTATTTTTTTTTAGTTTTTTAATTTTTTAAAAATATAATTTTTCATTATAATATTATATTTCTTTAAAATATAAATTATAATATTCAAAAATTAAAAATGAATAATATAAATTATAATTTTAAAGTATAAGCACAAATTCTAATATATAATATAATATTATAAATTTCTTAATATTTCAACTCTTTCTCCTCTAACGACCAATTTTTTTATGATCTGGCACTACGCGAGCAGTGAGTCCTGGTTTTTTTTTTTTTTGGGCTTTTGTATGTGGACCCTCGGTTTGTTATATTTCTCCTCTCTGTTTTTTTTTTTTTTATATATTTCTTCTATCTTTACTTGGGGTGAATGACGATTAGATCCAAACTGAACTTTGGATTAATGATGTTTATGTTTTGAAAAAAAATTAAAAAAAACTGAATTACAAATATTAATTTTAATAAATCCAAATTTAAAAGTTTCAATTACAGATAGTATATTTAAATTTTAAATGTAACTCTCAGATTATATTTAGGATTTTTGGTTGTAATTATCTAAATCAATATTTATAATTTATTATTTTAAATTTTTTTTGTCAAAGATCTAATTATCATTAATTTAATATTTTGAAAACTAATTATCATTTTTTCTTTACTTTTTTGTCACTTTTTATTTTTTTTCCCCAAACAAATTCTAATAAAATAAATTACTTATATTTGTACATGTTATGTATTTTTAAGAGTTAAAAGGAATTTTTGCCCTTAAATTATTTGCATAGAAATGTTTGGTGTCTTAATTTTTTTTATGGTGTAATATTTTCTTTCAACATTTAAAAACTGTACAAAATTATTAGTTGACCCAAAAATTATAAAAAATGATTTCAAAATTATATTAAAGGATCCTATAAAAAAATTAATATAGACAACTACTTTTGACCCAAACTTATTGCTAGCTAGCAATAACACTAACAAAAATTATTAAATATTAAAGTGCTAACGTTTTAATATGATATTATTAAAAATATATTATTTCTTAATTAATTATTGATATTGTTGTCAACAATAATGATCCAATAATAAATGTACAACAACCGTTACAGGATTATTTCTCTCCTTTAACAATTGAAAACAATGCAATGTTGGCCTTACCATCCATAGTTAAAGGAGTTATTTATTTTAAAATAAGACTTATAATTTATCACACTATTTTAATTTTTAACTCAACTAATATAAAAAAAAATATGTTCACCTATATATTTCGAATATACTAGTTGAATTATTAGTTTTTTAAAAGATTTATAAATTTTGTAATATGCACGGGATAGCATATTTTAAAATAAGTTGCATGAAAATGAAATAAATTATTACTTTATATGAGGCCTGAGATGCAGAATCAAGAATTGTCACTTATCTAAAAGAGGTTGAGTTTCTAAGGTCAAAAAAAAAAAAACAAGTGGTTGAATTTACAACTATGGAAATCCAAATTGAAAAGATAATTGATGAAAGGTTCCAGATGAACTAAGAGACTGAGAGACATAAAAAGGTATGCGAGGCATAAGGATATGAGCTATGAGCCTATGAGCTTCAACCTGTTTTTCTCCAGCCTAATATAAATGGCATCCTTAATATTTGTTAATTTTAGGTTAATTCTTTTGTGTTTAATAATTTAAGTCTGTAATGGTTTTAAATAAAGTAATAAACCCCAAAACGTGTTTAGAGTATTTTTTTTAATTTTCTTTTGGATTTTATTAGTGTATTTTTTTTAATAGGAGAGATATCTAATAACTTATTAACTGATAGAGCTCTAGGTTTGGTTTGAATGAAGGAAAAAATGGAAACAAAATAGAGAGTTGAAAAACTAAGAAAAAAATTTATAAAAATAATAAATTTTTTAGTTTTTAGTTTTAAAAGTTTTCCTTCCTAATTTTCTTTCCTCTTCATTGTTCTACTCGTGTGTATGGTTCAGATGAATCAATCTGAACTTCTTTCAGTCAGACTTCACTTTGGGAAAAATTCGTTTTGGACCTCTGGAGAATTTGTATATCAAAGAAGGACCTTAAAAATATAAAATTTCTCTACACCCTCAAGTACCTATTTGAAAATAATATTTTGTGAGAAAAGACCTAATTACTTCTAAGATTTATGGATGCTAAAATAAACATCCATTTAGGTTTTAACAAATAACCATATGTAATTAAAAGTAACCCATTCAGAAATAAACAAATTGCAAAAATTGTTAGCATATGTTTAATTATACAAATATTAATCCTATATAAACAAGCATTCATTCAAGTTTTGATAAGCAATGTATGCGTAATTAACAACAACCTATTTGAAAATGAACAAGTTGCAAAAACTGATAGTACAAATTTAATTATATAAATGTTACATAAACAAGCATCCATTCTTTCACCAAAAAAAAAAAACAAGCATCTATTCGGGTTTTGACAAGTAAACTTATGTAATTAATAAAAATTCACTTAGAATTAACAAGTTTCTATAACTAAAAGTATGAGTTTAATTGTACAAATGTTGGTCTTGTATAAACAAACACCTGTTCATGTTTTGACAAGTAATTATATATAATTAACAATAATCCGTTCATAATTAACAAATTATTATAACTGTGTACAAGTTTAATTGTATAAATATTGGTCCTTTATAAATAAGTATCCATTCAGGTTTTAATAATTAACCACACATTATTAACAACAACCCCTTAAATCATTAAACTTTAGGGGTAATTATGTTTTTTTCTTAGAAGATCTTATTTTCATATAAGTATCAATGAATTGTAGTGAAATTTCAGATTTTTAATGCCTTTTTTAATATAAAAACTCTCTAAGAGTCCATTGATAATGATATTTCCCCCCTCACTTTTTACTTGGTGACAAGGTTTGTCATGGGACCTACATTTGTTTTTTTTTTAATTTTTCTTATTCATGCATATTAAATTGATTTGTAGCATTTGGCAAAGATTTCTTGGAGACCCACTTAATTTCATGATTAATAATTTTTTATAAAAAAATTCACAAATAGTCAACCGTACGTTGAAATTAACATTGGGGCTAATTAAATAAGTCTAATGTTCACACGGAATGGGAAGTAATCTTATTAGTGTGAGTGTGACACAATGATTGGGACTTATTTCACTGAGAATTGGCCAGCTCCCCTTTATCTGTTTTTAATAATTGAGATACACATACACAATACGGTTGTAAAAAAAAATTGCCATAGTGATCAAAGGGAAAAAAAAACTTATATATTTAGTTTTATATATTTAAGGAGTTTGTTTCTAATTAAATCAAGACATGTCTATCTTTTGTAAATTATTTATTTTATAATAAATTATTGTTATTAATATTATTAACACTTTAAAATTTATATATCTTGATTTGATTAAATGAAGAAAAAATTTTAAGTGGAAACCCTTGGCCCAACATAACAAAAAAGAGGGCCCCAAAATTTTTAAAATTTCATTGTAGGACCCCGTACGGAATTTTTGTTAAATTTGGGATAAAAATGATAAAATTGCTCTCGTTTAAATGAACAACATAAACGACTTGTTCGTTTTCATACTGTATTTTATTCATTTACTTACGAAATGTTATTCGTTTTTCTATTGGCTTACTTTACTTGTTTATAATCTTATTTTCACTTAATTTCATTCATTATTGTCCAAAGCATTCATTCATAGAAATCATAGGTCATCAATAGATTTTAACCAGAATTAAATTCCAAGCTGCTATCTCTTTACTTTTTGCATTGGGTTTCAGTAATATAGTGCAGATAGAGGGAGAAGGGGTAATATTGTGGCCTGGTCCACATCTTTTGATGTTAATGTTCTAGACTGTTCCCCATGGTCATCCATTGTAATATCAACTGCCTCAGCATGATGAATGGAATCTATGTTCTTTTGTGTATGGACCTCCTGCAACCTCCATTCTCTCTGTTCTGTAGTCCTGGATTTCTGGTTCATCTCTTTCTATCAGAAAATCTTGGTTACTAATTGGTGATTTTAACCAAGTCCTAACATCCTCTGATAAATTGAGCTCTAATCCATCAACTAGCGGTGCTCATCTTTTTCTTGAATGCATCTTCCTCAATGAATTATCTGCAATTCATCAATCTGGGCCAAAAATTATTGGGTCAAACAATAGAAAAGGAAGGCAAATGTGAGAGAAAGATTAGATATGGCTAAATGTAATAATACTTAGGCGTACACTGCTCAAATAACTACTAGAAAAAATAAAATTGATATCCATCTCTGATAAATAAAATCCATCATTAATTTTAGATTTAGTAATAAATCCCATGTCATCTCACAGGTACACATTACCTATCTTCCATCACATCGTCGCCCCTCCATTCTATGTCACTGTCATGTTAACAATTTATTTTAATTTTTTTTAAAATATGAAATTGCCTTGTCTTGAACCTAAAATCTCTCTCTTTTCATACGTGCCTTTTATCAGTTGAGTTGTGATGACTTTTCATTTTTAATATGCAAAAATTTAATATATATATATATATATTACTTAATTGAACACATATATTTAACTAAAACTTAAATGCATTTCTTATTATTTAATATATTATTATTT